CCAGGTGAAAGAGATTAAACACCTGCTCACAGCTCAATCTCTTCAGACAAGGGCCTAAAAGAGAGGATTAAAATAGGAGGGGGGGGTTAGGTTTACAATTTAGCCGACAGCAATATGCTTGTTAAGAGAGAGAGAGAGTTGGGCAAATTTTCAACACCCAACAAGGAGGTTGGCAGGCGGGGGGGGGTGGGGCATGATGCAGCACTAACCATCTCCGTTCGAACTGCTGGTCTGTGCTCCGAGGCTAGACCGGTAGGCTAGCAGGAGACCCAAAGAAGAACCCAGCGTGAAAACATCCTGGATCTGAAACAAAGGAGGGCATAATAATCAATAATAAATCGGCCTAATCGAACATTAAATAAGCTTATATATGCACAATAGATTGTCTAACTGACGAAACGTGAATATCAAAACTCGAGAGGGTCGCTTAAAACACATTCAAGGCTGTTTATTCTGATCATTGAATTGACTGGAGACAGAAAATGTTGCTTAGTAGAAAATAATTCAGTTCAAATCGAGGTATTGAAGGAAAAAGTGGGCCAACTTGGATCAAATCCAACATGTACCAATACCCAAGGAATTTACTACGCTACTGAAGGCTGTGGATTAAGAGCTTACTTTAAAAGAACGTGAATATAAGCGGGAAAGGTTTTCACTATATCTTTTCACAGAAAGAATAATTTCGTTTTGTCTTCATCAAAATCTGGTAAATGAAGTTATAACAAATCACATCGTTTTCAGGTAAAGGAGGTCAGATTTTGTTTAAAAAAAATATGTTTTGGAAATCTGCTAACTTTTGTGTCATAAGATTAACTCTGTTTAGCCCACTGAAAATAAGGACCGTAAACAAGCACATATTTATGAACGTCCGCGAAATGCCGTCAATTTTATTTGTCACGCCGTACACGAAAGATTTCCAAACAAGCTCTATCAAAAGTTGACTAGAAATGAATAAGTAAACTTCAAAGATGTATTCTGCGCCTTTGTTGTCTATTTGAAATCGTAGAACAGGGCCTAAATTACAAGAATATATCAAAAAGTGCTGCAACATAAACTGAAAAGTAAGTTCTTTCATTTTCAGCAGAAAGTTTATCCTAACTTTTTTTAGGGAAGTCAAAAAGCCAGTCCAGCTTTCCCACTTTATCTGGGCTTAATCTAACAAAAAGGCAAAACACGCAGATAGTCGACGACGAAATATCCAATAAAGGCGTTTTTTAGAAGATAATTTCTCTTTGTGGACGTTCATTTTTCTCGGCAATGAGTCGGTATGTTTGGGCGATTCTAACACCATGACCCAAACAGACAGTTGCACAAGAACGAATGTCCAAAAACTGCTTTTTATGGACAATCGACTGAACACACCGAAAATCGTAAAATGTTCACTCCCTCTTTCAAGAACGATCTGAACCTCGTCAAAATCGAACACCGGAAATAATTGTCAAAAAATGTCACGGAGGGAAATTTCTCTTAATGTACAGTAGTCGCCAATGACCATGCAACGTTCATTATGAAATTTAACCTGGCATTTTAGCGTAAATTAGGTAATACTATTTTGATTCTTTCAGTTTA